TTTATAATTTTAAAATAAGCCTTGAAGTCAAAATCTGTTATTAAAAAAAAATTTCTCCAAACAACGAAAGTTGTTCATTCTTAAGTTATGCGATGGCATACATATACACAAAATTTAAAACAAATGCATTCTTTTTATATATTTTATATGGTTTTTTTTTATTATAGTTAAAACCTCATTTACATATCATTTATTTAAAACAACAAAAATTCAATTCCGCGTTTTTAAATACAAAAAAAAAGTATTAACAATTAATGTAACCATTTATTAAATAATTATGTAGATATTTATCTTTCTATTTACTTTCTATTTATATATATATATATATATATATAAAATAATTTCATTATTGTTTATTGGTTTCCATTTCATTTTTCTGAATTTAAAATTTTTTCACTTTAATAAATTTTTTTTTAATATTATTCTTAAAATATTTAAATAGTTTCCACAATTATGTAAGTTAAAGGCAGTTAATTATAAAGATTAATTATTTTTACATATATTTTGTAATATATTTTATTTATGTTAAATGAAATGTGAAATGAAATTATATTAAAAAAAAATATACTCTTTAAATTTTTATTTAGCAAGAAAATTTATAACATATATTTCTGTATGATATATTTCAATAAAAAGCATATATAAATTATAATGATAATAATTATATACATTGAATGTATTAAAATAATAGTGCATTATATGAATAATAAAATTTTTTCGAAATTATATATAGATTCATTTTTATTATTTATATGCTAATGACCTTATATTCTGGCAAATCGTTTAACGTATTAAGACAAATAGCACGAAATAAAAACTTACAGACTATACTGAAAAGCACGACTCCGCCATTTAAGCAAAAGTGAATCATTCTGACAAATCTGTAAGCTACCCATGTCCTTGGTATTGCAGGATAACTTATTTATGAAGTCAGTAAGAAAAAGTGCCCTAAAGATATTTTAATCGATTATTGGATATTGAGTATGATGGGCAATGATGGAGAGGAACAACATAGATTCTTACTTTTTTTCAGAAACAAAACCACGAAAAACAGATTCCTCCTCTTCTTCAGAACCAAAACACAACAAATGTCATTATATAGTAGGCTCAGTATCAAAGCATGTCTTCCTAATAGGCATTGATCACTCAGTAGGCTGAGTAGTTTTCGCTTTAATTAAAGCACTTGAACGGTACGTTTCTTATCCAGTTTGTATCAATTTAATCTTAAAATCTTACAAAAATTTTCATCTGCATACGTTTACTTAACTATGCTCAGATAATTTTGTTTAATATCCAGCTTGACCATTGCAAATGGGATGGCAATATGCAGAAAATGAATGCTAGAAAGTAAAGTGCCTGCTCTGACAAGTTCACCTGTCTTGCATTTGCCTGAGATCTATCTGTGAGTTGGACACTAACATTCCTAGGTAGCTCGTTTAGAGAAGTCCAGCAGTCTCGACTTGTTACAGATATAACTATGGCGCTTACCAGTGATTACAGTTGCCTGTTCAAGAAGTTTTGATATTTACATCGGGAAGTTTGTTGCATAGGACCCATTTTGGTGCATAGTAAATCACTATTACTCATAGAAATCAACTGAAAGACACTAGATGCTAAAATCCAATTTATAAGAAAATATGATAACTGCTGATTAATGGAAAAGAGACATTTTAAAATCACAAACTTTATTTTTTATCAAGTGAGTTCTCTGACTTGCTATTTAATTGTTTCGAAAACCGCAGTTAAATTAAAAAAAATTATTTATTTATATAGTTGTGGTTATGCGTTAGTCTTAAAAATAACACAGCAAGTGCAATTGTTATCTCCAAATGAAAAACAAAAAGTACCAAAATTCAATAATTGATTAACACAAATAAAATGTACGTTGGCTTTGTGTGTAAACAGGCGTGTCTAGGGTTCCATTTTGGCAGGGGTTCAAGTCTAGATACTTGCAGTTCAAACTTATATATAGAGACTTATACAGACAATATATTATATATAAACAATTAAAACAATAAATGTTTCCAAAGACGACTGTTGCAATATATAATTTCATAATATTATTTGTATATTTTAATACAGGCTTTATATTGTCAAAAACATTTACCAAAAAAACCTAAAAAAAATGTTAAAGATATTAAAAAAAATACAATTCTTTAATTAGTTTAAAAAATATAACATTTATTGACCGATATATTGATTATATTCTATAGTAATCCCGAGTATCCTAAGTCTTTAAGTATCTTTATTGATACCGTAAACACAATAGTTATTATAGGCCGTGAGTTTTCTAATAATTAGGGGACATAACATGGATACCAAAGAATACCTTTGATGGAAGTATTCTTTGATGGATACTATTATTGGACTTCAAGAGTGGCAGATAAGTAATTGTGTAAAGAGTTCAGTTTCTCTATATATAAATTGAAGTACTTGAGCAATAAAATTTTAAATGCATTAATATAAATTACTTTATAAATTCAGTATGAATAATAAATGTTTACATAAACATAAATTATCAATCTGAATCTCATTAATAGAAAATCTTTATCTAATCTGTATATATGGCAACTCTGGGTTTAGACCGTAATTAATATCGAAAAGCCAGTATTTTGAACAAAACGTCCGTTTTCTTTCTTCTTTAAACATTTAATTTACAAGTTCGTTAAATACAATATTCTTATAAATATAAGACTTAATAATATATATTGAAAATGTCCAATTCAAATCAACAAACTCAACGGCGTCGACGTCGTAGTCCAGTTCCTTTAGAAATAATACAAAAAAATGTATCAATTTCTTTATCCAAAATAATTGTTAACATGATTAACCCGGAATGTCAGCAAAGATGTAAAGAAATGTTGAATATTGAAAACGCAACAGATGCGGAAAATAAAATTTTAAATGTTTTGCAGAACATTGAAGAGAGTAAGCAAGATTCCGTACATAATAAACGTCAACGAAAGTAAAATTAAATAAATTTTTTGATTATATATTTCATTTTTGTTTAACAAAAATATTTATTTAACATTGAAAAATAAAAATCAATAACTGTTTTGTAATTTATAATAAAATTATTTCAATAAACTTATCAGTTCTTTATAAAACATGACGTTTTAATTTACTTTTTTTCTTTTTCTGCATCTTTTGCGGCTTCTGCCGCTTCAGCATTCTTCAACAATTGCGATTCGATACCAACTTTTTTAAGCTCTTCAATTAAATCACCGCTTTGATGCATTTGAATTAGAATATCACAACCACCAACAAATTCGCCATTAATGAAAACCTGTGGTATTGTGGGCCATTCAGTATAATCTTTGATACCTAAAATAAAATGTTCATTAATACTAAAACTTTCATATGTTAATTTACAAAATAAACCTTGTCGCAATTCTTCACTTTCTAGTACATCATGTGCATCGTAAGGTACGCCATGCATGCGGAAAATTTGTACGACAGCATTGCTAAATCCACAACGTGGTGCCTCTGGATTACCTTTCATAAAAACGACAACTTTATTGGTGCGCACTATTTTACTTAGTGTGTCTTTATCAATAGCGGCTACACTACCGGCTGTGCTATCGGCGAAATAGCGCGGTTGTATGCGTAATGCTTTGTTGCTAACTACTTGACGTACCAATTGTCGTACCAGTGACATTTTGCTTTAAAAATTTTGTATGATGTGCAAATTAAAATTATTTTTATGATTAAATAACAATGCCTTCTAAGTTATTGACGTTTCGAAGTAATCACACTCAATTGACAAACAGCTGATTTGGTAATTTGTATGTATTGTTGTGAAATTCAATATTCAACTCAAACCAACAGAGTTGTATTTTTAAAAGAGTTGAAAAAATAAGTTGCATAAACTAATAATAACACGAAACTATTAATTTTCAAATTACAATAATAATATTTTTAACATTAGTTAACAGTTAATATACAATATATAACTAAATAATTTGTTTTATAAATTAATGAATTAATATTTTTACATATATGGCAGTGAATAATTGTTAATAATTTTGATTATTGATGATGTAATATAGTGAAAGACAAACACAAATTCTATGCTTAATGACATCGAAAATGTAAATTATACAAATTATTTAAAATTAATTGCATTTTAAATTTAATAAAAACTCGTATTAAAAATATATATATATATTGATTTTTTCCATTTAACAATTAAATTTGTATGTCTATATAAATATTTCAATATACAAAAATATATTGCAAATTATGGCAATTATGAAAGATTTACAATATTTTCCCATTCAGTTATGATAAACCAAAGAGAAAATAAAGCTGGGAATCAAAAAACAAATTCAAACAATAACAATATGTTATTATAATAAATGTAATAAAATTAATAAATATAATAAAATTAATAACGATATTAATTTCGTAACAAATAAGTACACTGCACATATTTAAAAAAAATTTGAATGGCTGATTACTGTATTGAAAATATATAATAAATAAAATTTGGAACTCATAAAATAATAAACATCTACTCTTAGTTGCAGGTGATATTGAGTAGCATTATTCCCAACAAGAATTAATCACAATTTATTCAGTATTTACATTTATTCAATATATTTGTATGTTTAATATGATTGGTAAATCTGGTGCAATTTTTTCAATTGAGGTGCTCTGTTAGTATAATTTGCTTTAAGTGCAATTTTCTTTTTTGATCGGTAAATCTGTGACAAAATCTATAACACTCTAGTTATTTCGCCAGAGTATAGAGATTATCTTGAAATTAACAACTGTTTTATATGATTTCAAAGATAAACTATGATTTGATTCAATATACATATGTATTTGTGAAAATTAAATGTTTACTAACACAACTAAAACATCATCAAAAATTAATCGAACATTTATAGATAACAAAACAAAATATATAACAAAAAAACTATATAACAAAAAAACTATATAACAAAAATGATATATCATATCAAGAGTAAATCTAGATTGAATTCAGATTTACTAATCGAAAACGCCATAACATTGATAAAACATATTTATTAATTTGTTAAGAAATAAATCGATATGTTTTTGAAATACGGTAGTAAAGAATATATTAGCCGTCGTGGTCATTAACATAACGCAATCTACTAAATTGTACTTGTAATGTAGATATTAAAGATAACAAATATTCAAACGATATATATATTATTTTTCATTTATCACTTAAAAAGACTAAATATGTTATAAACAATTTAAATCATTTGGTAGGAATTTTTCATAAAGAGTGTGATATCGTTATCGAGGTGAATAATAATTCAAAACAATTTGTCATAGTTTTGACATTTCATTTGCCGCTACTTAATGCATGTGTTAAATTTGTTTTGTTTTAAGCTCGAAAAATAACACAAACATTTGCAAAATATTATTATAAGAAATATTAGTATAAGAAACTACAAAAAATGGCTGAAAGTATGAATGATAATCCTTCAACGTCAACATCAACGGCATCAAATCAGTTTGTGGACGAATCTGCAGATACACCAATTTGCATAATTGTTTTGGGTATGGCTGGCTCTGGCAAAACCACATTTGTAGAAAAACTAACGCAATTATCTTATGCACATTTCAAACCATATGTCGTAAATTTGGATCCTGCTTGTCGAGAAACTCCGTACCATTGTAATATTGATATCCGCGACACAGTGAATTATAAAGAAGTTATGAAGCAATACAAATTGGGACCAAATGGCGGAATTGTGACATCACTCAATCTTTTTGCCACAAAATTTGAGAAAGTTGTGGAATTAATTAAAAACGCTGGACAAAAAGGACACAAATGGTGTATTATTGATACTCCAGGTCAAATAGAAGTCTTCACTTGGTCTGCGTCTGGCACAATAATTACCGAATCACTAGCTTGTATGTTTCCTACAATTGTAGTGTATGTTATGGACATCGTTCGATCCGTCAATCCCACAACGTTTATGTCGAACATGTTATACGCTTGTTCAATATTGTATAAATCACGTTTACCATTTGTTGTGGTTTTAAATAAGGTAAGTAATTTATAAATATGCATATATGTATATATTGTAATTAGTAGAAATTTCAACAGATTGACGTGCAGGATCATTATTTTGCTTTAGAATGGATGACTGATTTTGAATCATTTCATGAAGCTTTAGAAAATGATAATAACTATGTAAATAATTTAACACGTTCAATGTCGTTAACCTTAGATGAATTCTATAAAGATCTCAAGACATGCGGAATTTCCTCGAAAACTGGTATTGGGTTTGATAAATTTTTCGATTTGGTTGCTGAAGGTGCCAAGGAATATGAAAAGTAAGAATATTAAATATTTGTGCTAAAAAAAATTATGATGTAGTTTATGTAACATTATTAAGGGTTTTAAATACGAGTAGTTTGATTATGTCTTGCCAGGGCAGGTACGCTGTTCTCTAAAATTCACTCATCGGTATTTAGCGATAGCCAAAAAAGTCTGTGTGGATAAAGACTCTTGTCGGACAGGAAAACTTTATTATATCAATTTAGTTGCTTTAACTAAAGCTGAACATATTCAGCACTATTATATGGTTCGAAGAACGGTATACGTTCCGAAGTCACTCATCGTTATTAACGATTAAGTGCCATTCGGCACGTACTAAAGAGACTTCACAAACAGGTTCCAGCGGGTTACGACAACAACAACAACACTATGATATCGGTGATGACAGGCCACTCTTGTTATGATTCATATTTTGCAAAAAAGAAGGATACTGCTTGTACTCTCTACATTTAAAGATTAGGACCGTTATCTTCTGGAATCAAGTGGGTAGTTTTTCCAGATTATAACAATTTTAAGATTAGATCAGCTATTTAAATTTGTTATTTTTTCATTATCAATATTGCCATTCTGTATTATCTGTATTAGTCTTAAATTAATCTAAATATATAGTTGGTTAAGGTGCACTGATTCTCAGCTTCACATTTGGCAGGATCCGAGTTCGATTCCCGGTACTTGCAGTCTTAAAAATAATTATTTACGAATAATTATATACAAGAATTATTTCCAAGACCACTGATGATGGGTATTTGGCAATACTCGAAACAGTTGTATGGTCAACCAAAAATTCAATTAATTAAAATAACATAAAAAATAAATTTTTGTTGTTGTAGTTCACTACTGTTCGAAAAACCTCTTTATATATTTTTATGTAATACTGAATTTATTAATGAATAGTATTAATAGTATTAATAGTATTAATATATAGTA